GTCCAATTTAATCATGTAAACTGGGGCAAAGTTTGATTTCCCAGGAAAGTTAGGAAAACAGAAACAAGAATGTGGAGATAAGTACTCTTTTCTGTGATCATAAAGACCTGAAATAAGACAAAAGCAGAAAGACAATTTCAAAGTGCCAATAAATACCTACTGTGACTATTAACCCAATGCTTGCCCTGAAGAGTTATGTCATCTGTGGAAAAATAAGAAAACTATGTCTCTGAGATCAGCTGATAACTTGAATGACCAACACATCAGACTATCAGGTAGGAAGGCCTTTGTGACAGAGTAATAAATAGATTGCTTTTAGAGGCAGGTGTGTGAGAAACTTATCTAAGCCTCAGTTCCTTTATTTATAAAATGGAATTAAAATTACTACTCATAGTCTTATAAAGATTAGATGAAGATATCGCATCTGAAATGCTTAAGACAAGACTTAGAACAGTGGTAGTCGTTTTTTGTTTTTTTTTTTTTTACCCATCATATAGTTTTATTTTAAGGGTGAAATAAAAACACTACAAAACATTATTTCTAATTTTATTCAATATATCTAAAACAGCCGCATGTTTTTTGAGGGGGTTCCTAGCCTATAGGGTTTCCTACTGGAAAGCTCATTTTCATCCAAAGGAGAAGTCTGCGAAATTTGTTTCTTATTTTACTTTTACATCAAAAAGAAATGAAAATGTCACACATGCGCCTCCTCTGCTTCTCTCCAGCCCTCTCTCTTCCTTCATAATCACAAACTGCCCAGTTCTACTGAAGAGAATCACCCCCACCTCACCCCCTCAAAATGTCAGCAGAGAACCAGGATTTGCCCCAAAACTGCTTACTGGAAAATTTGCAAAACATTTCTGCTCATCTTTCGGGCTGCATGGCCAAATGTGTCCATCCCACAAAGCTGTTTCTATACATGAAGTAAACCCGTCTATAGAGCATTGAATAAAGCTGTAAAAGTTAAATAGCTCATCATAAATGACCACATAAAAGCGTGAAGCCCAGATCTCTGCCACCAGATTCATTATAATGCACTTTGAGGAAACCCAAGGCTGTTCTCTTTTCCCCACTGTCCAACCTACATGCGTATGGAACTGAATCGAGGGTATTGTTCCCAGGACCCTCCCCACTTTGAAGCCAAAGTTTCACCGCTGTTTCATTAAATTGCATCTGAGATAATCAGATTCCTCTCACTGAGGTAGAAAATTAATTTGAAAACAGATTTATTGAAACTCTTGGAATTCCTGCATTAAGTCTGAGAGGAAAAGGGAATATTTTGCTTATTTCCCTAAGCGTGTTACTAGGCCGGGAGTAGGCATTTGGTCTTGGCTGCCTCATATCCTTAACAGTGTCCTATTTCCTTGCAAAGATATCCTGTTGCAGGTACGGCTGCGGGGGTGTGTGTGTCTGGATATACCAGCTTCATTTTCCTGAGGGCAAGGATGGAACACGCGACCAGTCTGGGCTAATGAGACCCCACCTTCTGGGACAGATGTGGGCCTCGATGGAAGAAACAGCGATGGCGTGAACCGGGATGCACAGGTGGGGGTCTCCAGCTTCCCCATCCCACTGTAGCTCCAAGAAAAGCTCACATTCCCCTGTCCACCAGAGTGAAACATTTGGCCTTCTCCTTGGTACTATAAGCGCCTATATCCTTCTAGTAAATTCCCTGGGTTCTCAGGTTTTCTAGAGTGCTAACGGATTCTAATTGCTAGAGAGTAAGTCATAATTGCCACTGAGTCCTATTTACTTTTAAGAAAATAAACATTGAGTGCAGAAAAAGCAAGAATTATGCAAGGATAATTTGTCTACTTTGCCATTTTCCCATGAAAGAAAGGCAGAAGGAGAGAGAGAGAGAGAAGAAGGAGAAAGAGACGGAGAGAGAGAGAGAAAGACAGAGAGAGAGAGAGAGAGAGAGAGAGAGAGAGAACCTAGGATTTATGTAGCACAAATTGTCTCAAAGGTATTCAATGAAATGGCTGTGAAAATTACACAAAGTACCCAACAAAAGGCAAAGCACAAAACCTGTATCAAAATCTTTAACTGAGAAGGTGTGGTCTAGAAGCTTCTGTTGCATACAAAATGATTTTAAATCTCTTAATAGCTGAGAGCTTCGTATAAATATTTGCCTAACGGCCTGAAAGGCACCAAGAAGTAATAAAATCTCTGTGAGTTGAAACCTTATAGATTACAGTTGGTGGCTCCAAGCCGTTTGAGGTTAAGAGGATTTATGATTTATAAAAGCCCAGTATTGTTAGCCCTTGAGTAAAACAGCTACCTCTCACAGGCTCGTTTGTACCGGGAGCCATCCACTGGAGCCAAAATGATACACAAAATGGAATGCCAGCATCTGCACTTTGTTCAAATCCCTCCTCTTCCCCAGCCAAGTCCTATTAAGTGAAAAAAATAAAGCAGTGAGAAAGAAACTTGGGAAGCGAGTTGGTGTTTAACACAATTCCATCAGATCAGTTTCTGTGCCCGCTGAAGTCCTGCTGAAGAAATCTTAATTAAGAAGGCAGCGAATGCTTCCAAATGCATATGTGATGGACTAAATATCTGACAGGCGGTGTGCTCGCTGCCTTCCCACACGAGCCAGGAGGGAGCTCGGCCTGTCCCTGGGCTCGAGGGCAGCTTGCAGCCATCAGAGCCCCACGATGGCTGCTGTCTTTTTAAAACTCTCAGAGGCTTGCACTGTAGGTTTCCTTCCAGTTTCCAGTGGTATGAGAGACACCGCCAGTATAAATCTTGTTGTCACAAAAGAACAAGTTATAGTATATATTCAACCACACACATACAAAACCTTTCAAATAACATTAACTTAAACCCACAAAACCAAGGAGTCAAAAGCAAAGCTAAAACTGTCCTCAAGTGACCCCGTTGTGTTTAGATCTTGAATTCCAAACTCACTTTGACGCATCAGGGTTTCACCATGCAATGTGAAGACCATTTTTTAAATGGCTGAAAAAGTGAAGGCAGAAAAGAAAAAGAATGGAGGGGAAAAGAAATATCTCACAGTTCAAGTCTAATTGACAAAGAAAAATACAAAGCCATTTTCTGTGTGGATTTTTTTTTTTTCTTCATGTGAGGACCCAGATACCCTGCCCAGTCCCCAAAGAGTAGCAAATGCTGAAACAAACAGAAATGAAGACCACAGGGCAGGTTCGTGGAAGTTTCTTCTCTAGTGTAATGGGGTCTAAGCGTGGATCCCATAAAGCAAGTGTCCTGTTGGCTTAACGATGTCTATCTTACAGTTCATTCATGAGTCAAGCCTCCAGTTTTTCCATGGACACTCAATCAAAACAGTTAGGAGGAATGACTGTCCTCAGAACTCTGTTCTGAAAGATAGTAGGCACTGTCAAAGCTGGGGCAGGACAGTGTGTGAAGCCATGAACTATAGGTGGTTAAGGATTTCTGATTCGTACCCAGAGACATGGCTTCCCAACCTGGCCCAGCAGTTACCTAACTGGATGTGAGACACAGGGCCAGGAGTTCACTGCTCTGAGAGGTGGATACTGCACCTCTAGAATGATCTAAGAATTACAGGAGACCTTGCAAAACCTTCCTACTGTGCTCAGGGTGTGGTAACCCTTCAACAAACTACCCCTGTGTCTGCTAGTGTCAAACACATTAAAATGGCAAAGAAAAGACCAGACCCCTTTAAGATCCAGACAGAAGGAGGCTCAAGGCTTCTAGATGCTTTCATTACACAGAAAGTAACTTTCGCATGGGGAAAAGGCCATCAAAGTGAGTTGTTCGTCCCACAAATATTCTAACTATGTGCCAGGCTTTGAGGAATTCAAAGACAAACAGAGGCAAGGGGTCTGTGCCTTCCAGAAGACAGCAGTCTAGAGAGGGTGCAGATGTGGGAACAGACTGTGAGGACAAGCATCTGACCAGGTCCTCTCCGACTGCAGTGTCCCGATGCCCCTCCCCAAGCCACCCCACCGGAAACCACACTGGAGCCCCATGCTGTGTTCCCAGCCCACTTCCTACCAATCCAGGGAGAGGACTTGAATTCCTTGACCCAGAGCCATCAGGCCTTCCTACAGTGAGCCATGTGCAGCCTGACAGTGACTGAGCATCAGGGTCTCCCTGTCCTGGACAACTTGAATGTGATGGGTTACACTGCGTCCTCCCAAATGCGTGTGCTGGAATCCTGATCCCCAGGATCTCAAGACTGTGATATCGTTTGGCCCTTGAAAGTGATTTAAGTGAGTCCAGTAGGGTGAGCCCTCATCAATCAGATTTGTACACCTACGAAAGGGTCACACAGGTGGAAGGCCACCGGAAGACACAGCAAGGAGGCACATCCAGCCGAGGAGAGAGGCCTGCTTTTGAGAGAAGTCAGGCCTGCTGATATCTTGATCTCGAACTTGTTGCCTCCATAATTGTGAGAAAATAGATCAAGTGCTGCCCATCTGCGGTATTTTCTTAGGCCGCTCTAGCAAGCTAAGAGATGCTTTCCTGCAGGAAGCAGGAGATGTAGCAAAGAAATGGGAGGCCTGTGCCCTACAGGGAACAGAAGTGTATTGAGTGAAGAGAAGATTATCAAATCATGGGACCCCTGGGGAAATGCACCCTGTTCCCCAGAAGGTCTCCTGACAAGGACATCACCCCGCATCAGTTTCATCTACCCAAGTACCCAGCCACACGTAATTGCTAACAATTGGTTCAGTGCGATATTTTCTTGGCCAAGTGAGTCCACACAGGGGAGCACAGGGAAGAGTGGCAAGCACATTATAGCCATGGCTTGCATTTTACTGAGTTCACACCCTGCACAGCTACTGTTCTTAGCACTTTGCATGCAGTAACAAATTTAATACTCAACACAATTTCATGTACTATGTTCCTATGGCTGATGTAACAAATGCCCACAGATGGAGTGGCTTAAATCAACAGAATTTATTCCCCTACGATTCTGAAGTCCAGAAGCTAGGCCAGAGGCCACAAGTTCAAACTCAAGGTGTTGGGAGAGCTGCGCTCTCTCAGAAACCTGTGCGAGAGAACCTTCCCTACTCTTCAGCTTCTGATGGCTGGTGGGGGTCCTTCACAGCTCTCAGCTCACACAGCGTCGCTCCTCCGGTCTCCGCTCCAGTGTCACACGGTGTCCTTCGTGTCTCTGTTTTCTGACAGGGGCGCCAAACCTTGGATGAAGTGGAAGTCAGGCTAATCAGTGTGACTTCACGTTCACCAATCACATCTGGGAAGATGCTACTTCCAAGGGGACATTCATAGGTACCAGGTAGGTGTGAATTTGGGGGCCACTGTCCCAGCCAGTACTTATCGAGGGCCATAGAGTTGAGGCTATCCAGATACAGGCATGAAAGAGCATTCCCAGAGTTGCCCAGGCAGCCAGGGGCAGGCCCAGATGTAGCATCAAAGCACTCGCTCTTAACTGCTACCTACCCAGCTTCTTATGAAACATTTCCTAAGTGAATGAGTGGAGCAGCCTCCAATGGCCAGGGGCTTGCGTGCTCAGTTACGTTGCCCTCACTGAACTCCTTACCGTCCCGCTCTGAGGCCACCGCCCCAGGCTCCTGATTAAGAGCTCACCCCCATTTTATCACTTCTCAAGTGCGCTCTTCATGCGACTCCAGAGTGTCTTTTCATATCCAGATTTGATCAACTTATCACAGTTTGTAAAGGAAAATGCACAGCGCCCAGTGTCCCTTCAGTAAGCTAAATGCTCCGTGTGGGCAGGGATTGTGCCCATTTGTACTCACCGCTGTATCCACAGCAACAAACACAGGTCTGAGGCTAGCGCAGCTGGTAAGTGAATGGGAGCATTAACAAAGGAATGGATGGACGGCGGGTGGATGATGGGTGGGTGGGTGGAAGGAAGGAGAGTCGGTGGTGGAAGGCTGGTCGTGCTCAACTTACCTTTCCAGGCTCCGTGTCTGCTTTGTCTGCTACGGCTCTTCCTGTCTCCCACCCACTTAGGTACCACACGCTGCCATGGTTGGAATACGGTTTGTTCCCGAAAGGTCTTTGTGTGGAAGGCTCGGTCCTTGGTGTGGTAGTGTTGATGTGGTAGAACTTTTAAGAATCAGACCATTCAAGGGCCGAGAATGCAGCTCAGTGATGTGGCAACTGCCTGGCAAACATGGGTCCCTGAGTTCAATTCCCGGTACCAAAAAAAAAAAAAAGAATCAGATCATTCAGGGCGCTGCTCTTGGGAAGGACTGATACTTTTTCCTACGAGTGAGTTGCTGCAGCCTGAGACCAACCCACACACTTGGACGGTTCTGCCTGTGACCATTTCCCCGCTCACTTCCCTGCCTACCTCAGTGGTTGAGTACATGAGACCACCTGGTCTTGGGCCTTCAGCCTTTCAAACTATGAGCTAACTAAACCCTGTGTGTTTATACAGTTCCCAGTCATAGGTATTTTGTTTTAGAAACAGAAAGCGGATTCACGCACACACACAAACACTGGCACAGGTGGCTTCCACTCACCGGGGGGACACAGAGCTTTGTGATGTCACCACCACCGCTTTATTTACTCTGCGGCATCTTGCTTTCTGACCCAACTCTTGAAAGGTCCTCCTAACCAGGGGCTGTGTCTTATTTTTATTGCCAGCTTCTAGCACAGTGCATACTGGAGTGTGAACGGGGGATAAACGCTGGCAGGCTCAGTAACTCAATGAAGGGTCTCATGTCAGCGTGTACGTAAACACGACTTTTATTTCTATTTTGACTAAGGCTCCCCTGTGCGTATACAGAATTCAATTCTCAGCTGATGAGGCAACTTCTTGGCTTTTGAAACAACCCCAGCACAGATGTCACACGACTCAGAGGAGGCTGAAGCCCAAGTCTTAGCCCAAAAACAGACATCCTAGGAGCAAAAGTATTAAAATGCAACGGAGGCTCCTATCACTCCCTGAATTCCTATTTGTGTGTGACAGGTAGGCGAGGTGGCCGATGGAGGAGCTGACAGCATGACCCCAGCCTCAAAGCCGCTTTTACATAACTGACACAGCCTTGCAGCTTCAGGATCGTCACATCTGGAGTCCATTTCAAAATTAATGAGCCTATTTACTTGCTTATTTAATGTAATTAGGGGAGACAGGATGGCACAGAGGTTAAGTGCATGAGTTTCTGAAGCAAAGAAACCAGAGCTGCTCTCCTGTCTCTGGTCTTTGGCAGGTAGGTAGGACAAAGGTGCCTACAGGTGGTTCTCATCCTCTGAGGATTCCTCTTCCGTCCTGACCTCAAACCCTGGCACACCCAGGATTCGGGCCCGGCTTGCTGTCCTTTCTAACAATTGGTGTTCAGTCAAGTCCAATGACTGTACCGCAGAATGTGTGGTAAGGACCCCTCCTGCCACACCCTGTCCCCGGACTCCCCACTGCCGGACCCACCTGGTCTACGCCAGAGAGAAGCGGGACAGAGGGGAGAGGAGGGGAGACCCGAGAGCCAGGGTCTGCGTCTGAGGCCTGACTCTGCACCTCGTTGCCCCAGGACTCTGGGAAGGTTATGGAACCTGTATCCTTGTCTGAGAAACGGGAACAATGCCCTACAGGATTCTTGGGAGAATGAGTAAGCTGATGTATTTTAAAGGATAAGTGTTAGTGACAAGAACACACCAGCACTCAATACAAGGTGTGATCAGAACCTACAGTGAATGTTTACATTTTTTTAAAAAATTGCAATGCAAGATGAGTCTCCCTTAAAATCCTCCCTCTGGCTTCAAGCACATTTATGTCCTTGTTCTTGCCGACTTTTGAAGCAGCTCTGAAAGTCTTCTTTTGGGAGTGCCTTTAGTTGCCTTGCTGAGGCTGCCTTGATGTCCTGAACTGATGCAAAGCATTTCTGCCTCGTGGTCCTTCTGACTTCGGGGAGGGGCCACAAAAGTCACAGTGCCAGATCCGGGGATGAGGACACGCCGTCATATCTCTATCTGACAGAGACTTCTGTCAGTACAAACCATCAACTGCTCCAGAAAAGGGCAAGACAAACAGGTTAAGTGTGTTTGAAGCAAGGAGTATTTCTGATGAGGATTAATGGCAATGTACCTTTTCCTGTGACACGTTTTTAGAACGTAAACCTTCACTGTACTTTCTGATCACCCTCACCCATGACGAGTGTTGGTATTACCACCAGTTGCCAGAAGGGCCTCTTCCTTTAGATGCCAAAGGAGCATCTCCTGGGCCCTAAAATCGGACTCTGCATTCTCTCAAAAACTAATCTCTGCTCTGGTCTTCTCTTATCCCTAGCAGACTGAGTTATTTCCTTTCTTTGTATATCTGTCACTGCCTAACTCAGCCCTGCTGGTGCCTGTGTTTAGCTGTTTGTTGTCTGCCCACTCCCAGAGAGGATTTAAGCTCACAAAGGGCAGGGCCTGGTTCATCTTGTCCATGCCTCTGAAGGTGACCTGTGCCCACGGGGTGGCTGCCTGAGACACAACGCTGAGCCAAGGGTGAGTGAATCAGAGCGTAAACAGCTGGACTCACAGCGGGTGCACCTGCTAGTCAGGGAACATCAGGAAAAACTTGCCCGCTGTCAATGGGGCAGTAGTGTTTCCTTGAAGGGTTGTGGTGCATTTTAGGGGCACTTCACACCCTCGTCCCAGTGCCTGGCCCACAGTGAGGTGCATTACAAAATTAAAAATGAAAATAAGCCACCTAGTAGGATTTGAAATGGATCGGGTCCCTAGCAAGTGAAAATACAGACACCTTGATTGTTTTGATTTGATCAGTAACTGACTGAACGTACCTCACACGTGAATTTCAGATTGAATGGCTTTTTTACATAGGATCAAATTTTATAACTCTTTACAGAATGCTAACACAGTCATGCCCGATACTTCTTTTCCATTGCTTCTTCTTCAGCCCTGGGCCCCTCCCTCTTGTGCAACGCCACTCTAGATGTAGAAGAAAACAAGTAGAAGCTTTAGTCCCACCTTGCAGGTAGTTCTGTGAAAAGTTTCAGCAGGAGAGATAATCATTTATGTAGCTTCTCAGTTGACGGCTTGACAAGCATGAGCTCCTGGTCTGAACCTGCCACTTGGGTTCCAGAAGGGCCTGGCGGAGTTTACGCTGCTGTAACAAAGGTCGACTCAACTGCACCTCATCCTCGGGTAATAACTGGACACGAGGGCCAGGGCTGCTGGGTGCTTCTCTTCTGCTCAGTCCTTCGGAAAACCAGGTTTTTCTTCCTGGCCATCCCGTAAGTCTATTTTTCAGTCTCTGTGGTGAACCTCAGGTCACAGTAGCCAACAGCAAAACAGAGAAATAGGAGTGACACCTGCCATTATGCTCCAGTTCTCTCTGCAGAAAAACAAACAAACAAACAAACAAACAAAAACATGGCTACCTGTAACCACAAAGCAGGCTGGGAAAGGTAGGCAGCAAAGGTGCCACTCTGGCCATAATTCTGACCCTGTGGGGAGAAAGTGGGCTTCGAGAGATATCAGCAAACAAAGCCCTTGTCTTTCTGAGCTGTGTGTCCATCTTTCTGGGCTCGCAGTCAGGAGAAGCAAAATAATTAGACCCTTACAAACGACGATAAATGTTATGAAGAAAGGTACAGGGACCGAGGGAGGGGACCCTCCTAGTCAGGGCCGGACCATTCAGGCTGCAGGAACTGGTCACCGAGAGTCATGGCAGCAGACGGGGAGGGTTAGTGGAGAACTCCAGGCCTGATTTAGCTCTAAATTCACTAGCTGTGAACCTATGAATGAGTTATTTCACCTCCTCCTAACTTAGTTTCCTCATCTGTAAAGTAATAATTAGTATCTGGTATGCCATAACCACTGTTATGGTTATTGTTGTTGTGATCACACCATCAGTGCCTTTGTTGTGTGGACTGTGGATTAAAGGTAAGGCCCACAGTACTGGCAGGTACCAAGCACAGCTGACACAGCTTCCAGAAACAGGAAAAAATCTATCACGAGAGGCCAGGCATTTCATAAGAGGTAATCTAGCTGAGTTATCGAGGGGCAGTTATGTTTTTCAGGTAAAGACGTGGGCGGCCTTTTATCATGGCAAATAACTCAAAAGTTTCTGCTCCTGTATCTTTCAGGCTGTGAAAAAGCCCAGGTGTGACCACGGGTGCGCTGCACATCAAACGAAGGGAAATGTCAGATTAGCAAACCTCTGAGCGGCTACCCCCCGAGTGCAAATAATGTTATCTGCGCGATTGGCGTCCTACAGGAAGTGTGGGGTGGCGGGTGGGACCACTCTCCGGGCTGTCAGGTGGTGGATATTTCCTCTCCTCTGTGCTTTCCGAGTCAATAACTACACTCCGCACTGGGGGGACTTAGCAGTGGCCCTTTCAGAGTGTCCACTCACACCTGGCCCTGGGTGCGTTCTGGGGCGCAGAGCGGCCCTCTGAACCACGGACACCCCTTGATTCGCCAATCGCCGTGGCCACCAGATTAACTCTGATTCTCGTTTTTCTCTTCAGCCAGTCCCTTCCGGTGACAAAGGAGACCCTGACTGGGGCTCACAGGAACCTCACACCTCCCACTCCTCCTTCCTGCTGTCGCAGAATATTTTCTTCTTAAGAGGCGGAGAATCATCCTTTCCCTCTGCTTTTTTCTCGGGATCTTTCTCCTCACACTCTCTAGAACGGAGCCCCTAGAACATTCCCTCCGTGGCGTGGACCTTGAGAACAGAAGCCAGGAAGCGGAGTTGTCTGCTTTCTCTTCCCTGCCTGGTACCTGCTGCCTGTTTAACTGGGGAACCGCAAAAAAGGGGGAAAGAACCACGGCCGGATCCTCTCCAATGTGGCTCCGGTGCTTCCGTTCCCCCCAGGAGACGCAGCCCGCTCTGCCCGCCAAGATGCCGGGCCACAGGCCTCCCCGCTACAGCTGTTTGTTTTCACTTCCTCGCATTTATTCAATTCACAGTGGAAACAGACATGATTAAAATCTTGGGCTTACCACATCCAGTCAGGTTATCCGGCATCTCTAAAAAAATCATTCTTAAAATGTTTCACTTGCATTTCCAAATGGCAATCCAGGGCTGAGTCGTGACACCCTACTGGAGAAAGAATCAACCCTCTACTTTGTCACAGAATCTTTAACTTCCTAAAATCCAGGCTTGGTGGCAAGAACCAAGTATCAAGCCACAGAGCCATAAGGAAAAAATTGTTTTGTGGATCCACACCACATGCAAAGAAATCACAGATAAACCAAAGGGCCCTCTTTGCTTTAGAGAAAGTAGGAATGAAGGCATTTCCTTGAGAAAGTGAGAAATAACCAGGTGTGGTGAAGCACGTATGTAATCCCAGAACTCAGGAGGCTGAGGCAGGAGGATTGCCGCACATTCAAGGCCAACCTGGACTACATAGCTAGACCCTGACTTGAAAAAAAAAAAAAGCAAACAAACAAATAAAGTGAAAACTAGTCCCATTGTTTAGAGTGTGCATGAAGTATGCAGGGTCCAACACAACTTCAGTATGGTGC